TGGTCTCTAAAAGGTTCGCCATCACTGACCTAGAACTTCTGGAGGCGAGCTGTGCAGGTCAGAGTAAATAGCTATTTTAGGAATTAAGAACTGTCCCCTTAAGGGATAGCCCTTTGAGTAATGTAGTTTTAAGTTACCTGGTCACATCTGTGTTTTGGATTGGCCACTGGGAGGGACTTCTGATTGGCTACCTGGGATTACTGGCTACGTGCAGGCCAGCGGGTTTTTTTGTGAATTCCAGCCATGGGAGTTGTTTGGCGCCTTTTTAACATGGGAGATACTACCTCTTTTCACCTACGTGTTGGGTTCAGGTTATGAAATGTGCTTCAGAGGAATCTCTCCAGTAACTGTGAGTTAATGTTTAGAGAATGCCTGATGAATTAAAGTAATCTGCATGAAACCCTTTCCGTGGAGTTTATCTGCCTGTATTAAGCAATAGTACCCCTCTTTGCTTGAAACAGAACACGAGCCGTACCACTGGTTAATGGTTCTCGCTGTCAAGAAATTTCTTCTTAATTCCAGGTTGTTTCTCTCCTTGATTAGTTTCCATCCATCGCTTCTTGTCCTGCCTTCTGGTGCTTTGGAGAACAGGTTGACCCCTTTGTCTTTGATGGAGCCCCTCAAATATTGGAACACTTGACACGCAGAAAACGCCACCGTGAAGCGCCCTGCTGCAATTTTAATTTCAGCAGAATGATAAGCATAAAAGGAAACAGATGCCAATCCTGCAAGAGTCTGCTTATGAAACCCGAGTACAGTTTCATAGGAAGAAAAAAGTGGTACCAAGACAGCTGGAATGGCTGCTGTTTCACGGTGTTTAATGGTTCCTGTCAAAACAGGCAAGAAGATACCGGCTTTTGTGCAATAAATCTATGGATCCAACCCTGAATTTAAGAAGCCAGGCAGCCCTTTGATATCTCTTAATGGCAACTGTTGTCAGGACCAAATAGTTTTTTTAATTGCTTTAAGGGGGGGGCAAAGGATTCATAGGGGGAACATATTAATTTCACCACAGGCCATGTTGGCAAAGCCACCTGAGGCAGACAGGCAGAACTTTATTTTGGTCATTGAGCAAGAAAAGAACGATCAATAAAATGAACACCATGAACCTACCTCCTAACAACAAGGACTATTAGCAGCCATTTGCGGGTGAAGCTTACGTATAATGTAGCAAATTTATGAGAATATTTGTAACTCAGGGTTGAACCGAGTCCTTGGTGCTCTCTGAACTTGGTTGTTTTCTTGCAGGTGTTTTGTTATCCAACTATGTAACATCGCCAGTGCAATTGATCAGTACTGATGAGGTTACCTAGTTGGGTCATGAAACGTCTGCAAGAAAACCACCAAGTTCGGAGAGCACCAAGGATCCCACAATCAAGAATGTTTCAGGACCTTGGACAGATCTCTTAGAAAGCCTTGGGCAGGGGTAGGCAACCTTGGCTCTTTTATGACTCGTGGACTTCAACTCCCAGAATTCCTGAGCCAGCCAGAATTCCTGAGCCAGCTGAGGGGAAAGGGAGAGGTTTCCAAGCTGAGTCATGCTGGCTCAGGAATTCTGGGAGTTGAAGTCCACGAGTCATAAAAGAGCCAAGGTTGCCTACCCCTGGCCTTGGGTTTCATTCTTGTATACCACTGGATTGACAAGTCCTTCCAAGCTCCATCACCCTTTTTGAATTATACAGAAGCCATGAGGATAAAACAGCATTTCATTGTATCTCAATGCTTTTTACTGGACATTTTCCATTTATTAATGATGAGAGCCGGTTTGGCATAGCAGTTAAAGGCATCAGGCTAAAAACCAGTTCAAGTCCCATTTTAGGCACAAAGCTAGCTGAATGATCTTGGGCTAGTCACTCTCTGACTCAGCCTTGGGAAGGAAACAAGGAAAAACCACTTCTAAAAAAAACTGCCAAGAAAACCACAACTTTTTGGGCACCAGGGACCGGTTCTGTGGAGAGACGTTTTTCTGCAGACCGGAGGGTGCGTGGTTTTGTGTGCTGCCTGCATCCCACGGATAGGGCTTTGCTTGTTTGTGTGGACCGGTTGCTGGCATGCCGTGGCCCGGTACCGGTCCAGGGACTGGGGGTTGGGGACCTCTGCTCCAGACAATTTATGAGAATTGTGCTCGATTGAACAGCAGAAAAAAAAAATATGATAATCTAATCAGCCTGTACTTGGTGCAAACAACGCTGGCTGGGAAATTCTGGGAGGTGATATCCACACAACTTCAAATTGCGAAGGTTGAAGGTTGTTTTAGAGCAGGGGTAGGCAACCTTGGCTCTTTTATGACTCGTGGACTTCAACTCCCAGAATTCCTGAGCCAGCCATGCTGAGGGGAAAGGGAGAGGTTTCCAAGCTCAGCCATGCTGGCTCAGGAATTCTGGGAGTTGAAGTTCACAAGTCATGAAGGGGCCGCGCGGGCGGTGTTGGGAGGGACTCGTCACTCCCATGTAACGCCGCTGTTGCGCGAGCTGCACTGGTTGCCAGTGGCCTTCCGGGTGCGCTTTAAGGTGTTAGTTACCACCTTTAAAGCGCTCCATGGCATAGGACCTGGCTACCTCCGAGACCGCCTTCTGCCACAGATTCCCTCCCATAGACCGGTACGCTCCNATAATTTAAGGCAGTTTCTTGTCATCTGCATTCTGTCTGCCCCACACAGTATTTGGCTTCAAATACTGCAGTCTTTTTTCCTTTTGAGTTATGGAGTTAGACCCGATCCATCCTGTCCAATCCTGGGACGATTTTATGTTAGGACTGGATCACACCCTTCAAAACCAACACCCCAAAGTCACGCAATCTTATTCATTCCATGACTCTCCTTTCTTCATGTAGGTCACCAAATTCTATTTCAAAAAACCCAGTTATGAAAGAGGATTGATTTTTTTTTTAAAAAAAGGAAAGCAGAAGAACAAATCTGTTTAACAAAAAGAGAAGATTAGGCTGTTGGTTTTTTTTTCTTTTCCAAGGTGGGTTTTTGGGACGTTAATCCTCAGATGTCTGTTGCATGATTGCCCCATTTTCTTGCTCTCCCTCTGCATTTAACGCCTAGTCTTCCTTTTCGAAAACACCGCAGAAGCTGAGCTGTGTTAGTAGGGTACCAAAAAATCCAAAGGAATCTGCTTGCATCTTTTCCAACTAATTTTATTTAAAAAAAATCACCAGCTTTCCTGAGCTGCAACTTCTGCCTTTCAATGCAAGTTGGCAAAGAGGCTTCTAGACTCCTTCTGACTTTCTTAAAGTGAAGTCTTCCTTAATTTATTGCATCCAGTTTTGGTCACCACGATGTAAAAAAGATGTTGAGACTCTAGAGAGAGTACAGAGAAGAGCAACAAAGATGATTAGGGGACTGGAGGCTAAAACATATAAGGAATGGCTGCTGGAATTGGGTATGTCTAGTTTAATGAAGAGAAGGACGAGGGGGGACATGATAGCAGTCTTCCAATATCTCAGGGGCTGCCACAAAGAAGAGGGAGTCAAGCTATTCTCCAAGGCGCCTGAAGGCAGGACAAGAAGCAACGGATGGAAACTAATCAAGGAGAGAAGCAACCTAGAACTAAGGAGAAACTTCCTGACAGTTAGAACAATTAACCAGTGGAACAACCTGCCTCCAGAAGCGGTGAAAGCTCCAACACTGGAGGTTTTTAAGGAGAGACTGGACAGCCATTTGTCTGAAATGGTATAGGGCACCACCTGTGCACCACCTGTGGTACATTGGCACCTGGCAGGTGGTACGCGACCATCCTAGAAAAGTGGTAGCGGGGGAGGGGAATGAGCTGAACTGGTGGCAGCACCACACAAGCCTGAGCGAGAGATGGCTGGAGCTGCAGGGCTGTCAGGGCTCTGTGGAAGCGCCAGGATCAGTGCCAGGCTCCAGCTGAGCCCAGAAGAAGCGCCGATCAGCTGGAATGTTGCAGCATCTCCAGGGTCTTGTGATTTACATTCAGATGCTTGGCAACTGATTCATATTTATGACGGTCACAGTGTCTCGGGGTCATGTGAAATGACCAAAACCTGCTGCAACTACCCAGCAGACGGGGGGGGGGGGAATAAAAACCAAACACCCCCCACCCCACCCCCGCTGCCAATCCTCAACAGAAATGCTCACAACAATGAAAACCTCGGACAGGAGGAAAAGCGCCGCTGGGAGGACAGGCAATGTGCCTTGCTCGGTTGTGGCTTGGGGGGCACTTTTTTCAGTGCCGTTGTAACTTTGAACAGTCACTAAGCGAACTGTTGTAAGTCGAGGACTACCTGTACTTTATCACCTTTTTCCTTTTTTTGGGGGGGGGGTCATCAAGTTTTTGACACCTTGCTAGGCGACTGGTGGTACTCGGATGTTGCCATATCCTAAAAGTGGTACAATGGGTGAAACGGTTGAAAAGTCCTGGACTAGATGACCTCCAAGGTCCCTTCCAACTATTATTATTATTATTATTATTATTATTATTATTATTATTATTATTATTATTATTATTATTATTATTATTATTATTATTATTATTATTATTATTATTATTATTATTATTACCTCTCAATGTTTAAAGCCTCTTTCTTGAGCATACACATTCCTTCTAATTTCTTTCCTCCAAGCTTCCCCGGTGCATCTGTCTGATCCTTTGCAACATCCTTGTGTTTTTAATCTGCTGCAAAACTCAAGGAGGATGAGAAGCAACAGGCAAGGAGCCCATTTTCAGCTCGGGTGCTCCTTCTGCCTTTGGGGCCCTCCCCTCTTCCTTTTCTTCTGCTCCAGAAGAGGCAGAAAGATGGCATGGCGCCCCTTCTTTTCCAACCCCTGCTGAACACTTGACTAAAGAAACTTTTCCTGTCTCTTGTTACCGCTCCTCCCTGCCTTGGAGAGAGGGTCCCCATTGGTCAAATCGGAGCCCTTGACCACCTCTCCAACTCAGCTTTTTGCCAATCAAGTTCTGCCTGTCCCAGGCATCCTGTTTCATAAACGTAGCCTCCCTTTAGATCTGTGTGCTTTAAAAAAAAAGTTCCCAGAGAGCCTGGAGCATCCAGAGCTCAGCCTGCATCCATCATGGAGCAAAGAAGCTTGTTGCTAAGTCTTCTCTTCCTTGGGGATCAGCTGGGATCCAGCCTGGCTTGTCAGCTGCCCTCTGACTGGAGGCCACTGAGCGAAGGGTGCCGAGCAGAGCTGGCGGCCACGATTGTCTATGCCAAAGTCTTAGCTCTGCACCAGGACATGTACAGCATGTACAACTATTTGCCCTGGCAGTACGAAGCCATGGACGGAGGGCTGTTTTACTCCGCGGAGATCGAGATGCTGTGTGATCAAGCTTGGGGGAGCATGTTGGAAGTGCCAGCAGGGTCCCGGTTGAACCTCACCGGACTGGGCTACTTCTCCTGCCACTCCCACACGGT